TTTCCCTGGAGGTCTTTTTGATATCTGCCAGCATATATACTCTATGAGTTATATGACTCACACTGGTGACTCTAACTATTGTAGCAGGGCCAGATGTGGTCTCCTTATTGGACCAGATTGACTAAAACTTGGTCTGTAGTTAACACTCTGGCTAATGTGTACTTCTGTTACTGTTCACCCAGATCATTACATGGAATTTCAACTGGCAGGGAAAATAAAATAATTTCATAGTCTGACCTCAAGATCTCTAGACTCTAACTCTCTGCTATAATCTCAGCTGCAGGAGCCCTGGTCTATCTCACCTTGCCAAAGGTCTCCTATATTGATGCCTATAATACTGATCAGTTCTGGAAACAGAATGGAACAGAAAATGGAAAGGATCCCGTATGTCTTGGTGAGACAAGTTCTTCACGGGACAGGAGAGAAGTTATCCTAGAGTACAGAGTTGGTCACTTCAGAGTCCCTAGATGTCCTCAGGTCTGCAGCAGGGGTTGGCAAACTATGGCCTGCAGGCTAAATCCAACCCAATGACTGTTTCTGTAAATAAAATTTGATTGGAGGGATTTCCCTGGTGGCGCAGTGGTTAAGAATCCACCTGCCAATGCAAGGGACACGGGTTCAAGCCCTGGTCCAGGATGATCCCACATACCACTAAGCAACTAAGCCCGTGCACCACAACTGAGCCTGTGCTCTAGAGCCCGCGAGCCACAACTACTGAGCCCATGCGCCACAACTACTGAAGCCTGTGCGCCTAGATCCCGTGCTCTGCAACAAGAGAAGCCACTGCAACGAGAAGCCCGTGCACTGCAACGAAGAGTAGCCCCTGCTCGCTGCAACCAGAGAAAGCTCGCGCGCAGCATCGAAGACCCAACATAGCCAAAAATAAATAAATAAATAAACTCATTAAAAAAAACAAACCTCATCACACTTTAAAAAAAAAAATCTGATTGGAATACAGCCATGCCCACTTGTTTACGTATTATCTATGGCTGCTTTCCTGCTACAGCATCAGAGTTGAGCAGTTATGGCAGAGAATGTGCAGCCTAAAAAGCTAAAAATATTCTTTGGTCTTGTATAGAAAAAGTTTGCCAAGCCCTCATCTACAGCATGTTGGCATAGCCCCTTGGAAAGGAAGGACAGCTTGCTGCCCCAACCATCTTCTAACATTTTACAGATGACACATATCCTGTATTTGGGTGTCCTACATTTATACTTTTACTGGGTAAGCTTTCTAAGTGGGACAGGCTATAATCATACAGCTCAGCTGCTCAGGCTATCCTGTGATCCTAGGGCATTGGGATGCTGATTGAGATGCTGCATAAAGAATCCACCTGCCAATGCAAGGGACACGGGTTCAAGCCCTGGTCCAGGATGATCCCACATACCGCTAAGCAACTAAGCCCGTGCGCCACAACTGAGCCTGTGCTCTAGAGCCCGCGAGCCACAACTACTGAGCCCATGTGCCACAACTACTGAAGCCTGTGCGCCTAGATCCCGTGCTCTGCAACAAGAGAAGCCACTGCAACGAGAAGCCCGTGCACTGCAACGAAGAGTAGCCCCTGCTCGCTGCAACCAGAGAAAGCTCGCGCGCAGCATCGAAGACCCAACATAGCCAAAAATAAATAAATAAATAAACTCATTAAAAAAAACAAACCTCATCACACTTTAAAAAAAAAAATCTGATTGGAATACAGCCATGCCCACTTGTTTACGTATTATCTATGGCTGCTTTCCTGCTACAGCATCAGAGTTGAGCAGTTATGGCAGAGAATGTGCAGCCTAAAAAGCTAAAAATATTCTTTGGTCTTGTATAGAAAAAGTTTGCCAAGCCCTCATCTACAGCATGTTGGCATAGCCCCTTGGAAAGGAAGGACAGCTTGCTGCCCCAACCATCTTCTAACATTTTACAGATGACACATAACCTGTATTTGGGTGTCCTACATTTATACTTTTACTGGGTAAGCTTTCTAAGTGGGACAGGCTATAATCATACAGCTCAGCTGCTCAGGCTATCCTGTGATCCTAGGGCATTGGGATGCTGAATGAGATGCTGCATCTAACTTCAGGCATGTCTCAATATGACCAGAGGGCACACGTGTGGGATTCTGGAGCAAGGCCAACCTACTTTAAGCAGGTACCATTTTTTCAGTAAATAGCTCCTGGCTGGTGCTAGGGTCCTGACAGACAGCAAATGTCTGATACCAAGGGACACCAGGTGACCATATCATTAACCCATTTTGAACAGTTTTACCTGACCTACCAACTCACAAATAGCATGCTTTCAACCCATGATCTAGTATTTAAACATAAAACTGGGCATATGGAGGTCCCAAAGGCACAGAATACCCAAGTGGGATAATCACAACCCTTACTCAGTAGGTCTTCTCTCTCACCCAGGGTTATGTCTTCATGGAGGTGGTCCCTACAGATCAGCTGACAAAATTGAGAGACCTGAGCTTGGTTCATTTGTGATAGTATTAGCCAAAAGTGGACTGCTTAAGCATTATACTCCCTTCAGGAATGGTACTGAAGGATAATACAGAAAAGACATATCCTGATATGGCAGATTTTCAAGGAGTTCCTTTTATTGTCCATTATACCTCTCAGTAGAGAAAGTCTCAGGTCAGTTTTTATCCATTCTCAGATGGTGACTAATGGTTTTTCCAGATGGATACAGACTTAAAACAAGCAAGCACGAAAGACTGCTGACAAGATCTCAGGAAGGATAATGTAGAACGCATTCTAGAAAGGGAACAAATTTGGGTCCCACATAAATTCTTACCAGAGTGCCCACAGCTGCAGCAAAGTCTCTTAATAATCATGTGGACAGGACTGCATCTGTATCTTTCCTCCCCAATCCGATGCTTGCTCAATGGGCTTATGAGTGACTCCAGTGGCAGCGATAGATATGCATGCAGTAACTGCATAAGTCAGTGGCTACAGAAGCTAATGGACTTTCCCTCCCTGAGGCCAATGTGGCTATCCACTACTGGCTAGCACCCACTTTGTTGGCAATATTGACCGATTCTAAGAACGTGATTTGTTATCACACCTTGAGGGAACCAGTTAGTTACCTAATACCAAGCTAACTACACTGGAACCCTTCCATTGTTGAAGGGACAAAGCTCTGTCCTCACTGGAATTGATACTTAATTCTGGATGTGGATTGGCCTTTGCTGTCTTTTGCACTCTTGACAACACCATCATATGTGTTTTTATAAATGCCTTGTATATCACCACTACAGTATTACACAGAAAGCCTCCAAGGACACACTTCTCAGAGAAAGAAGTATCAGAAGTAACCTGATGTAAAGAGGATGCTCTGGACTCACCAGGTTATCTATCATCAACAAAAAATGGGCCTATGAAGGGCTTCCCTGGTGGCGCAGCGGTTGAGAGCCCGCCTGCCAATGCAATGGATACGGGTTTGTGCCCCGGTCCGGGAAGATCCCACATGCCGCGGAGCAGCTGGGCCTGTGAGCCATGGCCGCTAAGCCTGCGTGTCCGGAGCCTGTGCTCCGCAACGGGAGAGGCCACAACAGAGAGAGGCCCGCGTACCGCAAAAAAATAAATAAATAAATAAATAAGGGCCTATGAGATGTTGAAAGAGACCATTAAGTGCTGAGATTCAAAATCAGTTATGGGTACCACCTTGCAAGGTTGGGGCGCTATCTTTTAGGATTATGGTATCTGCTCTGCTTGGGCAATACATGTAGTAACAGCAAAATATGGTATTATCACTCCCACAGCCAAAAAACACAGTTCTAAGAAACAAGGGGTAGAAACAGGAACGCATTTTCTCATGATCTATTTTTAAAAATTGTGTTCCTACGGCTTCCCTGGTGGCGCAGTGGTTGAGAGTCCGCCTGCCGATGCAGGGGACACGGGTTCGTGCCCTGGTCTGGGAGAATCCCACATGCCACGGAGCGGCTGGGCCCGTGAGCCATGGCCGCTGAGACTGTGCATCCGGAGCCTGTGCTCTGCAACGGGAGAGGCCACACAGTGAGAGGCCCGCATACTGCAAAAAAAAAAAATTGTGTTCCTAGACCTATGACTCAGGCTCTGCTGTACAACTGGCATAACACATAATGGAAAACACATTAAAATTGGTAATAATTTCTAGATGGTTGGGGCTTCCCTGGTGACACAGTGATTAAGAATCCACCTACTAATGCAAGGGACATGGGTTTGAGCCCTGGTCTGGGAAGATCCCACATGACGCGGAGCAACTAAGCCCATGCGCCACAACTACTGAGCCTGAGCTCTAGAGCCCACGAGCTACAACTACTGAACCCACGAGCCACAACTACTGAGCCTGCGTGCCTCGAGCCTCTGCTCTGCAACGAGAAGCCACCGCAACGAGAAGCCCGCGCACCGCAACGAAGAGTATCCCCCACTTGCGGCAACTAGAGAAAGCCCGTGTGCAGCAACGAAGACCCAACGCAGCCAAAAATAAATAAAACAAATTTATATTTTTTAGATGATTGGATTAAAGGTAATTTTATCTTTTTTTCTTCATGATGATCTAGATTCTCCACATTTTCTAGAATGACTGTGTATTATTTTATATTCAAACATAATTACTAAGGGGAAAAAAAAGAACCCACATAGCTCTAGAAGCAGATTTTCAATGAAAATCGCACATAAGGAAAGCAAGGAGCTGTAATGAATGCAAGGAGCTCCTAACAAAAGACAGAACTGTTTCCCAGTTTCTTTGATAATGGTTACTATGTAGCACTCCAGAGCAATCATGGAAACATTTGAAATCTGACTAAGCCTCAGTTTCCTTATTTGTAAAATGAAAACTATGTATCTTGTAAGGTCTATGAAAGAACACCATAAACTATAACATCTCCTATATGAATTATTACAACTGGTGGTAGGTGCGTGTCTATGTGCTCAGTGCTTTTAAAAACAAAAACAAGAATAAAAATTAGTTACCTTTGGGTTAAAATATCTACAAGACTGTGGTTGGGAGCCTCCAAATAGTGCTATGCGGTAGTCATGTTTCTTTCTTCTGGGCCTCGTGCCTTCTACCAGTTCTTCTCGATCCTCTGGAGACAGGAGATGATACCTCATTCCACCTGTAGAAAAACACATGGCAACTCTTCAAGAACTTCAGGCACTTTAATACTTTGAAAAGGAAATACCCAAACAAAATAGTGTTTTTATTTCTGGAACTTTTTTTTAAATCATCCCTCTATAGCATTTAAGGAAAGAATGAGGGAGAAGAGGCAGGAGAAATGTTTAATAAACTGAGTCCTAATCAATTTATTATTCTCAGCAATCACCATTAATGCTAAGATTGTCCTACCCACTTACTAAATACCAGGGAATTATCTGGCTTTTCAATCAACAGCTGCCGTAATACTAATTACTGAAATTCAGATCTCCCAACCCAGCTGTTCTCAATCTTCATTGTACATTAGAATCACCTAGAAAATCTCAGAAACTATCTATACCTGGGCCCTACCACAGGCCAGTTAAATCAAAATCTCTGGTGGTAGGGCTGAGTCACTGGTATCGCCACTTAAATGTGGTTAAAAGATCAGCAGCTTCAGCACCTGGGAGCTTGTTAGAAATACTGAATCCCAGACCTACTGAATCAGAACCCACATATTTAACAAAATCCTAAGGTAAATCAGATGCACATAAAACTGTGAGAAGTACTTACTGCTTAGACAATTCTAAAATGCAGTGAGGATTCAGAACTATTGTGATCTAACATGACCCTTTTCCTTGAAGCAATTCCTTAATTTTGTCAAGTCAGGGGACACTCAACAGTTAAAAACTTTTAAGATGTCATTTCAAATCAGTGTGGGAAAGGTGGATTGTTCAATAAATGATGTTAGACAATGATATGGAGAAAATATCTGTACTGCTACCTCATATTTTACTCTAAAGCAAATTCCAAATCAATAGAATATTTTAAAATGTAAAAAACCTCACAAATGAAATATAGGAAAAATCTGATAGTTAAAAAACAAAATCAAAAGACAATGACAAACTAGGAAAGTATTTATAAATCATATAAAAGACCTAAAGATATTCTTAATAATATTAAGACAATCAACTAACAGAAAATTAGATTAATAATCTGAACAAAGTTCACAGAAAAAGAACTAATTACAAATGACTCTCAAACATATGAAGAGATGCTCAACTGCTCTAGTTAGAGAAATACAAATTAAAATCATACTTTCTCACTCATCAGATTGTACAAGATCAAACTATCTGGAACACAGGGTATGATAAAGGAAGCAGCACGCTCCTACACTGCTGGTGGGGATGTGGATGGATACAAATTATCTGGAAGGCAATACAGGATGATCTGTGAAAATTACAAATGCACACACCCTTTAGCCAGTAATTCCCCCTTTAGGATTTTAGCAACCTAAAGTTCACTGTCAGGCAAGTGGTTAAAAATTATGATATATCCACATAATGGAATACTGTATGTGGCTGTTGAGAAACACGAGGAAGGGTAACATGTACACATGAGACGATTTCCAAGAAATAATGTGGAATGAAAAAAAGCAAGATGGGAAATTTCCTGGTGGTCCAGTGGTTAGGACTCAGGGCTTCCACTGCCAAGGGCCCAGGCTCCATCCCTGGTTGAGGAACTAAGATCCTATAAGCCATGTGGCGCAGCCAAAAGAAAAAAAAGAAATAAAGCAAGACATAAAAGAGTACACAAAGTGGGATACTGTTTTAAAAATGTATATCTTTATTCATATATATTTTTATACATAATTTATACAAGTATATGTCAGTAAATTACTGTATATGCACAAACTCAAGACTACCTTTGGAAGGATATACAAGATAATAACGGTTACCTCCAGTGAGGCTTACTTTTCACCATATACCCTTTTATACCTTTTTGAATTGTAGATGATGTGCAGTATTACTGATCCAAAAATAAAATAATGTAAGCAATTCTCAATACATTCAGAAAACACTTCTGTTCATGAGGCTGTGTTGGGCCTTTATAAGAGAGATAGAGAAGACATGTTTGGAAAACAGGTTGTGAATGAATGAAAATCAGTATCAATATTTCTAGCATCTCCTTCCATTTCAGAGTATGAGTAAAAGCACTATGCATTAGAACAGTTGGAACACTCAGCAGCCTGCTCTACGTCAGGGGACAGCAAAATTTCTCTGTAAAGGGCCAGACAGCAAATATTTTAGGCTCTGCAGGCCACATATGGTTTCTCTCATATATTCGTTTGCTTTTTACAATCCTTTACAATTATAAAAACCACTTTTCCTCATTCCCTCCTCTCCCACTCTAGGTCTAAGACTGTAGTTCTTAAGGTATATGGTTCCCTGACTAGGAGCATCACTTGGAAACATATCAGAAATCCAAATTATTGAACACTACACCTGAACAGATCTTGTGGGGTTTGAGAGCCGCTGCTCTAGTGAGGGCTCCACACAGGGCGGAGGTGTACTGTGGAATCTATGAACACAATACTCCCAACAAGAGAAGACAGGCAGCAGAGAAGGAGAGAAACAGGAGGGAACTGTTCCAGGCAACAGGCCACTGGGTAAAAGTGGCTGACTGTGGCTAACTAGGTCAACCCTGGAGGAAGCACAAACTGTGGCTCCTTCACTGATGGGCGGTTTCTCTCCCAGGACAGGGCTGGGGACAAACTCTCTGGCACCTTTCCCTGAGAAAGGCCTTGCTCCTTAGGCTTATTCCTTTGGGAGTTATTCCTTTGAGAGTCAGGTACTTTCATTTGCAAATTTTGAATAAGATCTTAGTCTGACCCTTTGTTATGGTTTTTTTTTTTAATATAAATTTATTTATTTTTGGCTGTGTTGGGTCTTTGTTGCTGCATGTGGGCTTTCTCTAGTTGTGGCGAGCGGGGGCTACTCTTCGTTGTGGTGCACGGGCTTCTCATTGCTGCGGAGCACAGGCTCTAGGTGTGCAGGATTCAGTAGTTGTGGCACGTGGGCTCAGTAGTTGTGGCACGCAGGCTCTAGAGCGCAAGCTCAGTAGTTGTGGTGCACGGGCTTAGTTGCTCTGCAGCATGTGGGATCTTCCCAGACCAGGGCTCAAACCCATGTCCCCTGCATTGGCAGGTGAATTCTTAACCACTGCACCACCAGGGAAGCCCCTTTGTTATGGTTTTGACTGTGTTCTTCATTTTGTTTTTATGACTTGTTTTCTTTTAGTTGTAAATTCTTTCAGTTTAGTTTTATTCTATATTCCTATCATCTTTTGTTTTTCTTCTTCTCTCAAAAGGCAGACCCTAAATCAGATGGTAGGAAGGTAACTGATGATCTGAAGAAGGAAGGCCTTCTTTCCTCCACTGAGCTCTACCCAGGCTCCAAAGCCTGGAAGAATCTCAGCTGCTTGTGCCTAGTCAAGGAATTTTAGACCTCATAGTTCTTTATTAGAACAACACAAAACAGAAAAGGAAAAGAAGAAGAAAAAAATGTAACAAAAAACAAAGATTCCTGCTCAAGAGCCTAATCCCCACACTTGTTTGGATTTCTTGAATAATCCTGGTATCCTGTTTCTAAATCAACTCAGAATCCACATAAGAACTAAATACTTCACTGACTGGCTAATTTATCTTCAACAGCTTACACCATGTATGAAGAAACAGGTGCAGCTCTCTACCCAATGAAACCAGTAATATAACACAGAGTTTAAAAATAGAGGCAAGACAAAAAATCTGATATTAACTTGTGAAATCCAAAAGATGAAAGTCCTAATCTAAAGGCATCTTCTTGGTCCTGATTCTTTCATGTCCCTGTACTTCAAGAAACTAGCGGCAACCTATGCTGTACTTCTTAAAACTCCCTACATCTTGGTTATCAAGATACCAGCCTGGGAAGGGTAAGCTGGGACGAAGTGAGAGAGTGATATGGACATATATACACTACCAAATGTAAAATAGATAGCTAGTGGGAAGCAGCCGCATAGCACAGGGAGATCAGCTTGGTGCTTTGTGACCACCTAGAGGGGTGGGATAGGGAGGGTGGGAGGGAGATGCAAGACGGAGGGGATATGGGGATATATGTATATGTATATGTATAGCTAACTCACTTTGTTATAAAGCAGAAACTAACATACCATTGTAAAGCAATTATACTCCAATAAAGATGTAAAAAAAAAAAAAAAGATACCAGCCTGTGGTCGAAGTAGCTTGGTGAACTCTCCTTTCCCGGTTCCTTGTCTACTACCCCTTAAATGTAGATATTCACAAGGATATATCCTTGATTCATACCCTCTTCTTTTTTCCCTTGACACCATAACTGTAACCAAAAGGTATTATACCATGCACTGTCTTATGCTTTTGCCACTCAAGAAAAATTTTTATATTATTAGATATTCATCTAAAATATTTTTAGTAAATATAGAGCATTCCATTGTATGGATATATTGTAATACTTTTCCAAACTAGGGGACAGTATTGGGTCAACTTACCTAAAACCACAACAATATTAAGTAGTACCTATGTGATAAGTTTGACAGAAATTTTACTTTACTTCCAATTTAATAATTGGAAGTAATTAATTATTAAAGTAAAGTAATTAACAATTATTAATTACTATTTAATAATCAGGGCACTCAAATTTATTGTCACTCTTTTTTTTTTTTTTTTTTTGCGGTGTGCGGGCCTCTCACTCTTGTGGCCTCTCCTGTTGCGGAGCACAGGCTCAGGATGCGCAGGCTCAGCGGCCATGGCCCACGGGCCCAGCCACTCCGCGGCATGTGGGATCTTCCCGGACCGGGGCACGAACCCACGTCCCCTGCATCGGCAGGTGGATTCCCAACCACTGTGCCACCAGGGAAGCCCACTGCCACTCTTGAGAAGGGTATCTTAGGCAGGAATGAAAATTGCCATTTCTCTTTTATTTCCTTCCTTAATTTTGTGTCTGAAACCAGCTATACCTTAAATGAAATGTGCAAATGAATGCCAAAAACAACTTAAGGTTTCAAAGTAGGTTTCTAAATACCTTCTAGGAGAGGCTTTTTTGCTCATTACATATTAATTGAAACCTATACTGCTATCCCATGTGTGGATACTGTCCATGTGGTTTTTGGTTTAAGATGAATGGGAACTCAAGAAGAGCCTGGTAGAGTTAGCAGGAGCATACTTATCTCAGCATATCACAGTCATACACTACACATTTCAGGCCTGTTTAAAGAACAAGCTGAACTTCCACTTACAGCAGTATGACAGTTGAGACTTTCAGAAATAACTTTCTGCTACAAAATTACTACAATGCTGGAAAGAATAAAACAAACATTCTTTTAAGTGCATAGCTAAGATCAGAGGGCCAAAAATGGAGAGTGAACTAAACACCAGAATAGTGAGTGTTAAGAGACCCTGGAGCTACTCTGAGAGCTTTCGATAATGCTGGAAACCTAGAAATTGATACTATTGGCTGCATGAGGGAAATAAGATTAGGTCTTGGATTTGCACAAGTGTTGGAACTGAGAGCTCTATCTAAAGCTGGATCACTTGTATTGGTTATACTTTTAATGAAGATAAGCTAAGAAAACTGTCTAATGGCAAAAAGGAAAAATAGTAATCTGCCTATTTCAATTTCACCTCCCGGCAGAGGTAAAGTCTCCCTCTTTTGAGAATTTATCATGACAGATCATACAGGTTTGAGGTTTGAATTTACCTGTCTACAAGTCTAGAAACCCATAAGCCGAGAAAAATTCAAAGTAGTCCTGGATTGTTGTGGCCCAGGGCACTTGGCAAAAGCAAACACTATTCTCCTCTTAAGGAAAACAGGGAGAACCTGGAGGAATACAAGCCACACCTCCCAATATTTCTGGAGATTAAGATTGATCAAATATAAGCTCTTGGGACTTCCCTGGTGGTACAGTGGCTAAGATTTTGCCCTCCCAAGGCAGGGGGCCCGGGTTCAATCCCTGGTCAGGGAACTAGATATCACATGCTGCAACTAAAGATCCTGCACGCCACAAGGAAGACCCGAAGCAGCCAAACAAATAAATATTAAAAAAAAACAACAACTACATAGCTAATTAAGTAAAAGATCCAGAATTTGAATCTAGGTCTGTATGATTAAGCCCAAATTCTTTACCACTATGCAACGCTACCCACAATGTCTTACAATAAAAACCCCAACCCACCAAAAAAAAAAAAAAAAAAAAAAAAAAAAAAAAAAAATATATATATATATATACACACACACACACACAAAAGCTCACAATCCAAAATTATAAAACACAAAGAATTAAGCCACCAGGAATAAGTCAATGAAAAAACAGCAGCATTTGGTCTTCAAAGACTTCAGATATTGTTATTATCAAACACAGAATATAAAATAACTGTATTTAATGGGACTTCCCTGGTGGTCCAGTGGTCAAGACTCTGAAGTTCCACTGCAGGGGGCACAGGTTCGATCCCTTGTCAGGGAACTACAATCCTGCATGCCACACGGTGCAACAAAGAGAAAACAAAAGTGCTGAAGGAAAAATTAAGCCTATCTCCAAGAAGACAGAACAAAGAGGCAAAGATGGATAACAAGAGAGACTTTAAGATTAGAGACTCAATGCCTAAATAATCACAATATCAATAATAAAGAACTGAGAAATCTGTAGCTGAAAAGAGAGAATGCCCAATATGATAACTTAAAAAAAAGAAAAGATGAACACCAAGGTACATTACTGTGATCTTTCAAAACACCAGGGATTAAAAAAAAAAGATTTTAAATGCTTACAAGGAAGAATAAATAAATAAACTGGCATCAGATTTCTCAAAAGCAACAATGAAAGCTAGCAAATAATGGAGAATGCCTATGATTTTCAACATAATTCTACACCCAGTTTAACTATCCTTCAACATTTTATGATAAAATAAAGATATGAGATTTGTCAAATCTCCAAATATTTATTGATCATATATTCTTTCTCAGGAACCTTTTAAGGATATGTTCAATCAAACAGAATTAAGAAAGGTGAAGACCTGGGGTTGAGGAAGACAGTGAATCTAACTTAGGAAAGGAGTGAAAGAACATCCCAGTATGGCAGAGAAGGGAAGTCCCAGGACAAGAACTGTGCCTTAAGCCTAAAGGGCAAACACTCCATACTGGAATAGGCAGAAGGAAGGCTCTATAAATGTGTTTCCAAAAAATAAAAGCAACAGATTGTTTAATTGTACAGACAATTTTATTAAGAGGCATTTTACAGAGGGTTTGGAACTTAGCCTGCAAGTCAAGAAAAATTAAGTAAATGAAAAAAAAATGTGGCAAAAAATGTGCTCCACGTGCAAAAAACAAACCTTTTTCTTTAAGAAAGAAAATGTGATCACAGTACACTACTTGGCTAAATTATTTTAAAAAGGAAACACAAAAAACAAAGTGAATGAAAGTTAATGTACACAAAAGGAGACAAAGCATAAGTAATTTTTAAACTTCTATCACACATGTTCCTATAAAATAAGGGCTGAGGCTAAGTTCCCTCCAGATAGACAGTTGAGAACCCCAATAGATTAATTATCCAGAAGGGCAAAGTCTTGAGTGTTTCTCCCTGGCTACCGAGTCTGATCCATTCTGAAGGGTTTTAAGCCCATGAGAAACTGGCTACACGATAAGTTATAAATGGATATTAAGGCAACTTACTTATCACCATCTTAAGGCATTCAGGATTGTCTTGAATAAGTGGTTCAGCTTGTACTGTTTTACTTAAGAAATTCTTTGATATAAGAGGAAACCTGACTTTAGCAAGGATGTCAACCATAAATGGCTGGCGGTTAGGTTCATCATATTTCAACCACCTGACTGCAGCATCATAAACCTAAGGGGAGAAAAACAGCATAGTAAAGTTCTTAGAAGGCAGCAGCACTTCCAGTTACCTATGTTTACTCTCAAGTTGAAAGGGGAGAGTCTCATGAAGACACAACTTCTTATTCCCAATATTTTATTTAGATATTTGCTTTCATCCCCAAACACCATCTGTACTTCAGAACAATTTACACAATGCTCTAATGATTCTTCTAGGTAATATGTTTTTTAGAACTAATTACTACTACTTCTAGGTAATATGTTTTAGAACTAATTGCTACTACATAATGTAATGACAGGTAGGATGTTGAATCTATAATTGTTTTTAAACAAAATATAGCTTCCTTTTTGGAAGGAGATATGATGTACATTTCCACTGAAAAAAATCTATTGGTCAATGATAGTTTCAATATATGTTCATATGGTACCAGGAGAACAGGTTAATTTCCTCAGAGGCCTTCTACCCCAAGAGATATGAAGGTCACCTATGATTTTATTCCTGAATTATGAATTGACAGACTTATTTACTTTCTGGAAACTTTATGATATAAAAATTCTATATATAAAAAATAATTTACAGGATATTTACATAAGAATTGCTTTCCAAAATAATATGGTAGCATTCATTTAACTGTACCAAACAAGCCCAAGTTTAGTAACATAATTGGATTTATAAATCACTAGTTTAAATACACTGAAAACAAACCCATTATTTCATATACATATACATCTGCCACACACATTTGAGTTAGTTACATTAGTTATTTTGGGTTGGTGTTAATAAGCCCTAAGTCTGAGACAGTTAATTTTTTATGGGAATTGGTCTGTTTTTTTAAATAAACTATTTATTGGAATATTTTTTGATTTACAGAAAAGTTGCAAAGATAGTGCAGAGTTCCCATACACCCTGCACTCAGTTGTTAAAATAGTACATTAGTATGAAACTCTTATCATAACTAATGAACCAATACTGATACATTATTATTAAATAAGGTCCATACTTAAAAAAAAAATCCTTTAGTTTTTGTCTAATGTTCTTTTTCTGTTCCACAATCCCATAAAAGATACCACATTACATTTAGTGGTTATGTCACCTTAGTCTCTTCTAGACTATGACTGTTTCTCAGGCCCTCCTTGTTTTTGAGGACTTTCTGACAGCTTTGAGTTCTGATCAGGTATTTTATAGACTGTCCCTCAATCTGGGTTTGTCTGATATTTTTCTGATGATTAGGCTGGGGTTATAGTTTTTTTGGGAGGAAGACACAGAGGTAACATGCCATCCTCATTACACAAGAGTACATGATATCACTGATGATATTAACCTGTAGGTAGTGTTCATCAAGTTTGTCAGGTTTCTTCAATCTAAAATTACTTATTCTTCCCTTTCTATACTATATATAAGTCAGTCAATTTTGCTCATATAACTGAGTTTTTTCTTTATGCCTACTCAGGTTCTCCGGGTCCAACCTATCAACTTGCAAACTAATACTCTGGGCCATGAAGAATGGGAGAAAGAATATGGCTCAGTGCAAAACTTTTATCTGTAGAACAAAAGTAACTCAAAGCATGCGATCTTACTCTACCTCTATTATTTTCCTATTGCTGCTATAACACATTATCACAAATTTATTGACTTAAAATACAGAGAAGGACGGGGAACTGAAAACAGGGTTTAAGTGAATGTCTGCATATCAAAGTGTTAGCCCATCTAGTTCCCAACACCTGTACCCAGCTTACACCTCTGACTGTTTATCTGACAGTTCTGGAGGTCAGAGTCCAAATTGGGTCACACACTGGGCAAAAATCAAGGTGTCAGCAGGGCTGCCTGAAGGCCTACAGGCGAAACCATTTCCTTGCTTTCTCTAACATCTAGCAGCCATCTGCATTCCTTGGCTTGCGGCCCTTCCTCCATCTTCAAAGCCAGCAATGGCCAACCAAGTCTAATTCATATCACATCACTCTGACACTGACTCTTCTGTCCCTCTTCCATATTTAAGCACACTTGTGATTACACTGGACCCACCCAATAACCTCCTCCTCTCATGATCCTTAACCACATCTGCTGAGCCTCAACTGCTATGTAAGGTAACACATTCACAGATTCCAAGGATTAGGGTGTGGACAACTCTGGGGGAGGCATTGTTTTACCCACCCAACAGCATCTCTACAAGTGGCCTGTCTCTCAAAGAGCCAGCCCCTACAAGCACCCAAAATTTATTTTTCCTATGAAACAGAATTTGGAATTAGTGTAAAGAACACATTCTCTCCTAATATGATTCTTTTCTTTGTCATGTATCCAAAAATGAAGCATAAGAAATCCATAGGGACATTTTTACTAAGAAAAATGTGAGAAGCCAGTTTAGTCACCTGATCCTCTGCCCTCACAGTCAGAGTGTCCTGGTTGAGGAGATGTGTAACTCGCTTGACATCAAGTTGTAGAAATTCATCAGTTTTATAAACTTCAGTAAAATGCTGATGAATAAAGTCATCTGCAGTTGCTTTCAATTCAGGACAGTCTAGACACTCTGCTAGCACACTTATACCTGAACACAGAAAGAAAACAAATGAATAAAAAATGAATACCTTAAAAAACAAACAAATATACATTAAAGATTAAGTATGACTCTAGGAAAATAAGACAATAAATTTCATAAATCTGGATCCTTCTCTTTTCCATTGATTTGTCTATTGTTATGCCAATATACTCTCTTATGTGTGGCTGAATTTGGTACTTTGTAGGACAGGCCCCCTTCAGTGTTTTTTCAAACTTTTCTTGGCTACTGGTATAACATTTTCTCTTGCAAATAAATTTAAAATAAACTTATAACATTCTACTTTTTAAAAATCCTGATATGACTTCAATTAGGATTGCTGAATTTTGGGATTACATTAGGGACAGTTGCTTGTTCTGCAACATGGAGGAGTTCCACTTAGGAACATGACATAGATATCCACTTACATTTTTAAATGATCTTCAATGTAATTAACAGTTTTCTTCATAGAAACCCCATATATTTTCCATTCAGCTGTTTTATTTTCTCTTTAGGAGGGAAGATCCCCCCTAATTGATTATTAATGTTCTGTATCAGGAGTCTGCAAAATACTATCCATGAGCCAAATCCAGCCCACATCTAGCTGTAGGGTCAGCAGCTAAGAACGTTTTTCATATTTTTGAAGGGTTGTGAAAAAAGGGGAAGTGGGGAGAAAAGGGGGGAGGGGAAGGAGGGGAGAAGCAGGAGAGGGAGAAGTAGGAAGAGGAGCAACAAGGACCACACGTGACACGTGGCCCACAAAGCCTAAAATATTTGTTATTTGGCCCTTATAGGAAGTTTGCCAACCTCTGCTAAATAAAACCACTGATTACTGTATATGATCTTGTGGCAGGCGTCCATTCAAAGTCATCAGTTAAATTTTTTTTAGTTTATTTGCTTTGATTTTCCATGTTTCAACGTCATGTTGTCTTCAGATAGTTTTGACACTTTCATATTTATAACCATAAAGGTTCTCATAACTGATGCCTGCTAGTGAGTTAGACTAGTTGCCATTTTCTAAATGTACTGAACAATGCCATGGCATGCTATGTGCTCCATCTGCTACATCTGAACATTTATGTTCCCACCAGGGAAATGATATTTTCACCAAGAACAAGTATTTGTTTTTTAACTAATTTTTGACAGTTGAATTTGTTGTAATTATGCAACTCAATTAAATATCATGCAGATCAATAAAATATGAATGTGAAAAGAAAACAGTTGCTTCTATGAAAACTAATTCTAAGGTTTACAACAGACTTGAAAACAGCTCAAATTAAGCATGACCAGGATAACTGATAAAATCGGGGAAAACACTGCAAAATTCTAGAGGGATTCTATAATCAGACTGTCTTGCTCAGTTATCAATTCGTTTTAAGGAAACTAAAAATAAAAAATCATAGATAATATATTATTGATGTGATTTAGGTAAGACAGACAATGGATCAGTATTCAAATCACAGATCTGGTCTTACAGTCACAGATTGGCAGATTGGTGTATTTTTATGTTACACTAAAATAACACCTTTACGGCAGATATAATCTTGTTTAACCACTCACTGCGTTAATGAAATTTTAAATTAGGCAACAAACTACTGTTATGATCATGCCTGATAAGGAAACTTTTACTGTTACCTTATTTTTTTTTTTGATTGACTACATTGGTGGAAATCTTCAGCACGAAGCTGAACGGTGGCATGTTTCCGTGCAAAGAATATTAGCTTTAGGTTTCAGACACATACAGGTTAACTTAGGTATTTTATTTCTAGTTTAAGAGGTTTTTTTTAAACATTAGGAATGGGTACTGAAAACACAAAAGTGCCTTCAGTATCTGTTGCTATGATTTTAAGTATTTTTTTTTCCTATAGCATGTTAGTATAGTATATTATGTTTGGTTTTTTTAATACTGAATCATTCTGTCATTTCTGAAGTAAATCATTACTCGTTTTCCTAAACACACAAAAACTCATTACTGAGGCTATTTTTTATTTTGGAAAATGTTGATATGGTATTTTATGGCTTGTTTCTGCCCAGGTTAATATGTACCTCCCTAACCTCCTCTTAAAATATATTACTAGGTGACCACCTATAGCAGTGGGAAAGGGAGGGTGGGAGGGAGACTCAAGAGGGAGGGGATACGGGGATATATATATACATATAGCTGATTCACTTTGTTATAAAGCAGAAACTAACACAACATTATAAAGCAATTATACTCCAATAAAGATGTTAAAAATAAATAAAATAAATAAAATATATTACTAGAAAATTTTGTAGTGGACAATATCTTTAAGATTAAATGAGGGTAAAAAAAGAGTAAACGAGGACACTTATAACCATGCTTTTTTTCTTTATTAAAATATACATTAATGGTGTTTTTTGTTTTAAAAAATAGGAATCTCATTTCTTACCAAGACAATTTGAAGCATCAACTTGTTCTTTCAAAAAATCAACACACATTTTCTTCACAGGTTCAATCTGGTACTGGTTTGCTGCATCTAACAAAGACTGAACATTGTTGCTATTCACAGAAATTCTGTAAGTAAGTTAAAGTGAATGTTAATTTTCTACAATTTATTATTTAAATAATGCTACCATAGAATGTATCCTTCTAGCCCCCGAAATTAAACAAAAAATTAAACTTTACAGCCCTTGAATTAGTATGGCATAGGATCCTCAACCCCCCCCCTACCGTCCGTGTAGTTTTTCATTCTGAAGACTCTGGAGCACACCAATTTGTTACAACAACGCTTTGTCGTGGCAGATCCCAACCTTACTCCTCCACAACAGAAACGATCCTTAACTTACCTAGCGGTATAAGCGAATTCCACAAGTTGTTCAATAATGTCAGGTTCAGCATCTTTGAGTTCCACTTCAAAGGACTTTGATTCAAGCATGTTAGCTAATACAAAGAGAAGAAACATAAATGGCATGAGTACTACCCTGAGTTTAACTGAAGAACCCGATCATTCTAGGCTGTGTTAAATGTTGGAGAAAAATAACAGGACAGAGACCTCTCTGAAAGAAAATACCTCAGAAAGCCCAACACATTCCTATAATAAATGCAAATTAATTCTTCATACTTGACATGTGCCTTAAAATAATTTAAGAAATTAATGAATTAGTGTACTTCTAAAAAAAAAAGCCCAAATGAACAGAGAGACATAAAACTGCATTTAATATTTCCCCAACTCCTAAATTAATTTGTTAGCATTCTCTTAAATTGTTATGGGCAAAATGCCTCTGACGTAGCTGGAACAAACACAAGAACAATGACAATTATATATATAGTCAGCTTTCACTAGCAAAGCTCTCATTCTTCCCCCAAACCCTGGTAGGTAGCCAGAGCACTAAAGAGAAAACTTGAGGCAGATATATTATATAACCTGATCAAGCTCACAAGCAGTACTAAGTAGAACCAGGACTTGGACCCAATTCTCAACTCCAAACTAGGGTTCTTTCTAGTATAATATATTTCATTTTTATTTAGTTTAACTTGCTAGATAAAATGCCATAAGACTTATCTGCTCCTTTACCTTTCCACCGGAGGTTAAGAAAAAAACCCGGTATTCAAGCAGAAGTTATATCTCCATTAATAAAGACTTCAGGCCTTTAGGGCTAACGAAAGGACAGTTTTCCTTTGATCAATCATCACCATGACCACTCTTCAATCTCTTCACTGTTCTGTGGCCTTAACTTAAAGTGCTTTTAAAACTGGGGAAAATGGCATATTTTCAATTAGACCCCACCTAATTCTCATAGAAAAATTATTATGTTTTATCTTAAGATACTTACTTGTGAACATTAAGTTAAAAAAATGACTCGCTGCAGCAAGGACAACACGATGAGCAGGTATCTTTCTTTCCTGGACCATAAGGATCACATCACACAACGTTTTCTAATCAAGAGAGAAATAAATAAAATTAAAAGGGGTTCAATGGGCATGGCTTAGCAAAGATATAAAACAGGCACTTGCCAAATGCTTTATCTCTATTTTGTATTTAAATCCAGTCCTTTTCCAGCACAGATTTTGTTTTTAATGTAAAACCTATTTAGGAAGGACTTACAGAGTTGCTGTCATGAGTTTGCTGTATCAAAATCTGGCACTTAGCTTCCCAACAGTCAGGAAAAAAAAAAGATCTTTATAATCAGAAAAAAAGTAGTCTACTAATCTTTGGGGGAAGCCAAATTTTTTTTTCTGACACAAATTCTAAGATATTTCTCATGGTGAGATTTTATGGGGACATTAAATGACCTAATGGCAATGTCCTTGATGGTTTTTCAAATATAACAATCTGCTCTTTAAAAATTGTCCTTGATAAAATGCAGGTGCACACTGAATTTTCCAGGAAAGTTGCCTTCATAGATCTAACCTTCAACAGAAACAACTCAGAATATACAGAGTGGATGAACCAAATGTCCATTCAGCACTCTTTCCTTAAATAACATCTCTAAAATGCACTTCTGATGGGACCTGGATAGCAGCCACTTTTAAACTGTGATTTCTGACCTAGGCCAAAATGTGTCGCTCTAGGTTACTGAAAGAAGGCAGATCTAGATTATACACTTAAAATGTTGGAAAAATGGGGTACATTAAGGAAAAAATTTAAGATTTACTGGAACCCTTAAAGATGAATTTCAAGGAAAAAGATATGTCCTTTTTATCAAATAAAATTTCAATTTTTTAATGAAGTTAAAGATAATATACAGCTTGGACTCAGAAAAAATTTTGTAAAGCATCCTCTTAGGCACTGGGAATATGAGGTAAATAATATTTTCAGAGTAATTTCACTCACAAAACTAAATAATGGCTCAAGAGCTCAGAGGATATGGCATTTTCCAAATTTTAAGTATTTTACTGAAACTACTGATATAGTTTCTGATAGATAAATCACTGCTATTTCCTACTTTATTACTTCATGAATAAAAAATCCAAATACTGTAATGCTTAGAATGAGAAAAGAAATGGGTCCCAATTAATGGGCTAAGGGATGAACATTTCACTCTTACAGCTTACTTAAATATTTTTTATAAGGCCTATAGACTATTGCTTAGAAATTATATGCAGATTATAGTTAGAGCTACTGTTACTCCAACAGTGTCTTAAATGTTTATTTCCTTTTATTTGGGGAGGGGGGTACAGAACAGGCATAGCTCTCAGGTGATTTTGCCGCACCCAAAAATACCAGGTAGCAAAACCAAGCCAACTATTTGGTTACTATCAAAACAAGCTGATCAAGTTGCTGAAGATAAAGAAAGAGAAAGGGAGAAGGGAGGGAGGGAAGAAGGAAAAAAGGAGGGAGAGGAAGAAAGAATACTGACAGAATAGCAAGCAAATTAGATAGGGGAGGGACCTATGGCTGCTGATGGGAAGTTCCAGAAAATGTAAAGCTAAACTGAAATGTAGCAAAAAACCTTTCCAAGGCATACTCAGGAATGGGGAATGTTAGTGTAGTGAATTTACAGGCGCTGAAGGAAGTTAGAGAAATCAGAGGGATCTTTGTACAATTTAGTCTTAGTCTAAGATTAATCTCTAGCCAGAGAGTAACGCTGTGTGTGGCAAGTAGGAGGAGGTGAAATGGGAGCAATCTTTTATATCCAAATGGTGCATTTATTTGACTGGACCACAATAGATTAATAGGTCCTATTCAACAAGAAATGAGACCGACCTAAAGGCAGAGGTCCCTCCTGCTATCAATCCTCTGGGGAAGAGGTGTATGCAAAGACAGGAAATGGGAAGAGACAGAGATTCAGGTGATCTGGAGAATAAGAGGTAACAAGTCCCAGGTGAATGGAAGAGAAACAAAACAAACAAAACTACCTTTTGAACAATACATCTTCACTGGATTAAACAAACCAAAAAACCTTGCAATTTCTCTGTTTATGTCCTCCCAAAATTATATCTTTGTATTTATTACTTTCAGCTTTTGAATCTTTAGCCTCTTATAAACAGCATAGATTTTTGTGTAACTTAGTCTGAAATTCTCACCATCTAATGATTATTTTTAGTAGGGTTTAGTTGAATCCCTCCTATTTATTACTGATAACTTATGTTTCATCTTACATATGCCCTCTTTTTAAATACTATTTATTATGTGTCCTTGCTGTCTTCATTTTTTTTTTTTTTTAAACTGTCGGTTGCTATTTTGGTCACATTTTCTTTGGACTTTTTCCTCCTTTAGGTGTCTCATTTACATTTACAGATCTGTCAAGTATTTGCAAACTGAATCCAGCAGGGTATTGTTCTAGGAATGCAAGAAGGGTTCAAGAATGATAATTCTATAAATATAATTCATCATACTGACAGGTTAAAAGAGAAAATTTTCATGTAGTAGATGGACTTCAGGGAATTCCCTGGTGGTCCAGTGGTTAGGACTCCGTGCTTCCATTGCAGGGGGCACGGGTTCGATCCCTGGTCAGGGAACTAAGATCCTGCATGCCGTGAGGCTTGGCCAAAAAAAGAAAAAAAGAAAAACTTCAATATATGGGCAAAAGGGTGTTTGATAAAATTAAAAATTCATTTCCTGAGATTCTTTAATAAAGAAAATGATGTGTCTGTATGTTGAAGGTCATTCATCAGAATCAACAGCAAACTAGTGAAGCAGGAGAGACATTCTCATTCAAGTTTGAAATGCACGCACACACACACACACACACACACACACACACACACACACACACACACACACACCCTGTCACATTGTTCTGGAAATTTTAGCCATATCACTAAGGAAATAAAGATAAATCAATTTAACACTTGTAGAACTAATATGAAAAGTTAGTAAGGTGGCTAGACAAATAAGATAAACATGAAAAAGCAATTAGATGTGAGTAATATGCCATTAATAAAACACACAAATGAGAGAAATAAAGATCCCAGTCATAACAACAACAAAATAATTAAATGTTGAGAAATAAACCTAAGAAATGTGAGGGATCCACATTAATGGGCATTTGGCATATGATAAAGATACCATTTCACATATGTGGTGAGAAGGTGGAGCACAGGTAATGTTTAAGGCAGTGAAATTATTGTGTGTGATACTCTAACAGTGGATATGTCATTATACACCTGTCAAAACCCACAGAATGTACAACACAAAGAGTGAACCAATACTGTAACAATGGCTCATCCATTGTAACAAATGCCCCACACTTAGACAAGATGTTAATAATAGGGGAAACTGGGGCGAGGGGGAGGCGCAAAGGGGGTAAATGAAAACTACACTTTCTGCTCAATTTTTGTTAAACCTAAAACTGCTCTAAAAAAAAAGTTTAATTTAAAAAATGTGGTGAGAGATTTGATAATTGAAAAAATGGGATAACGTATCAATTTGAGAAACAACAGATTTCTCTGTCATGAAGTACTCTCTCTTCCTCTGGGGAAGGTAAGTACTGGGAAGGAAGTTTCAGTCCTTTTCTCCAACTGTCGCTTGTCGAAGAGTGACTACATGATGAGCAAGAGCATGGCAGAGGTCACTGACCACACACTGCCAGGCCTCCTGGCTCACTCTTCTTCCATTAATCTGCCCCCAAAGTAGAACGTAATTCATTGGGAGGCTTGCCCCTATCTATGGCAGGAGAGGACTGTTCCCATTCCTCAGCTGCTCTGCCTCAGACTGGGTGTTTTTAGTTAAGGGGCAAAAGAAGAGGAAGCCCATTTTATGCTCAACTCAACGCCATGTTCACTAGTCTGTCATCACCATTAATTTATCTGTCTCCTACCTCTACTGCTCAAATATTTAGAACCAGAAGAAGAGGGCCCCTCAAATCCATATGCATAGACACTCAAACAGCAGCAAACAGAAACTTTGGTGCTACTTTAGTGTTTGCAAGTATTAGACACTCTTGAGGGAAGAGTCCTTTGGTTAGGAAAGACCTCAAAGCAGGCAAGCATTTTAGGCATGCATTAGTGGAATAACCTTTTGCTCTCTGTATGTATTTGCCAGACAGGACTGCAAAAGGCACTTCAGGTTCCTGAAAGCTCCACAGCATTGCATGAGGTTCTAGCTTTTAACAATATGTGCTGGCGTTAGTAGGAGGCATGCAAGCAGCTGTCCCAAATTCTATTCTTTATTGTATCCCAAGAAGAGGACTGAGGAATGACTAACCTTTGGATTTATGTAGCTTGTCAACAAGGTTCTGCAATCAGTCCCTCCCAGCGTGATTTCAAGTTGACCCTGGGTACAAATCCCTGGGTAGACTGTAGATTCAACTATAGTTGGGTGGTGGATTTAAATCACTGAAAGGATAAACGAAAATGGAACCCTTATTATATAGGGTAAATCATCATGTTGGATTGAGATACTAGAAAAGTCTCAACAAAGCCATAATAAACCCAAAGGTTAAGAGAAAAAAAATTAAAAGGCCTCTTTAGAAATCATCTTTGTTCAGAAAAGCAAGGAAAACAGCAATGGGCTTAAACACATGTATAATCACAATAAGGCAAGTGGGAAAGTTAAAGAAAAACAAGGGAACACACCTAGATTAATAAAGGAAAAGGGGATTTCCTTCCTTAAGGGAAACGTATGTATGACAAGCTAGGCCAAACAGCTTTGAAAGGGAAAGGAGATAAACTTTGGTATAACTGTTCTTTAAAAGACGAAATTAGGAAACAAAAAAAAGTTATTTTTATTGTTATTTATACAAAAGCAATATGGACCAAAGAGATATAATGAAGGAAGAAAGAATTCAGGAGCAGACTAAATCGTTTCTCTCAGAAAGAAGCCTGGTCCTGGAATTTTTTTTATAAGATTTCTTTTAAAGCTAAAGGTAAGAAATCAAACACATAATTAAAGGACTGACCTCAAAGCCTGGGACAATTATAGTAGGTGATTACAGTAAGTTCAGATTGATTTGAAAAGGGAAAAGGAAGAGCAGCAATAGAGTATTTCATGC